GGTCCATGTAGTCGAACTTGTTCCAAAAGGTTCTGACTTCCGAGAGTTTCCAACCCTCGTTATAGCGAGGCCACTCCCAGGCAACGTTGCCACCAGCGTTGGCATAGTCTTCCAGAATGTCGTTGCCAGCTTTCAGAAGACGTCGATGTCGTTGGCGTCTCTTCATACTTTTCCTCCAACCATCATCGGTGATCTCGTTGAGGTGCTGAATAGGGCTTGTAGGGCCACATGGGTATGACACCCAAATCCAGCGAGGCTTTCTGGTGCGGATGATCTCTTTGACCTTCTCGCGTCCAGATTCTTTGAGAAGATCGCATCCATTGAAAAGTCCAGCTCGTTCAGCCTTGCCACCCATCTTCAAGACAGTCGCCGTCAAAAGGCTGTCTTCTTCGCAGCAAAGCTCCAAAACGTCCAGCATGTCGCACTCACGTAGGCCACCACATTCGAAGACGTTATCGTCGAACTCTTCAAAGTACTCCTCCAAGGACAGGTGAATGCGCTTGGACTCAAAGTCAGCCAGATTCTTTGTGACATAGATCTCTTCCGACGCTTGGTCATAGTCAGTGGCGTCCTCATCGTGGGTCTCATTCTCCGGCATGAGCTCATACTTTGTCACAAAGATCTCCTCATTCAAGGAGGCACCATGGTGAAGGACTTCTCCGTCTCCACCTCCTCCCGCTGTGCTGCTTCCAACTCCTCTGGAGCTTCCATTCTTCGTCCCTTTCGGCCTGGCAGCATTGCATTGTCGGCCTCCTCCAAGTTCACCACCGTTGCTGTCGGCGGGATCTTCGCCTTTGGCTGTGGGGCAATCGGCCCTTGTGCCATCTCGGGCTTCTTCTCCTTGTGGTACTCGGCCTTCTGAACCCTGATCTTCTCCAGCTTCGCCATGCAGCTTCGTTCCGCAGCATCCAGGCCGATGTCCTTGTCCCGCAGCTTGGAGTCGTAGGCTGCCTCGTTGCCCAGTTCTTGAACTTGCTTTTCGACATCCGCCGGCAAGGCACCGGCTTTGCGTGTCAGGGCATGTGCCCCAAACGCGGGCACGTACATGAGGCGCATCTTGCAACGGCTGCATGCCGTCCAGCACCCGTGGGCGTTCGACCCTGAAGGAGAGCCTCGGCCCGGGCGAGCCGGGTCGTGACTGCCCATGCACGGCGGGCCAACATTCCTTGGATCTCGCGGATCCGGCCCCGTTTGCCGGGACCAATCGAATTTCTCGTCCTTGCCCTTGTCCCCGGTCTTCATGGCAGTGGTCTTCTCCTTCACCTTGGTTCCACTGGACGACATGGCCAAGGCTGGTCGAAGCGAGAAGTAGAGGGGCACTTGCTAACCAAGCTAGAGTCCTCAGGGACATGTCCTGGTTGTCGGCAGCTGCAGCGGAAGAGGAAGATGAGGGTTGCAGTTCAAATGGATTTCCAAGACGTTCTGAACGAACTGCAAACAAATCAGCTAACCATTCACTCTGATCTTCCAACTCCACTTTTTCAAAATCTTTCTTTTCATTCTCACTCATCAAACTCAAAAAGGAAGATGAAATTGCTGAAACTGTTTCGGATGTTTCCAACGGCTGTGCAGCTGCAACATGTGTGTCATGCCCTCCATGTTCTGAAAAACCTCGTGAACCTTCATGAGTGATGCCTATGTCACCTTCAATCTCATTGACCATGAAAGACGATGAAGCAGCTGAAGCGATCTTTTTCTCAGAGACGTTCAAATTGTCGCCGTAAAAGATCCGGGAACCTCCCTCAAGCCAGTTGTCACACAAGTCAATCAGCAAATGACCGGTGTGGGACTTTTTCAGAGGTATCATCAACGTTGCATCAACTGACTTGGGAACCATGACACTTCTGCTACAGTCTAAGATGGCCCCTAACTTGCTCAGACTACGGATCCCCAGCAGCAGTGGTACGCCTGGGGCATCAAGTGTAAAAGCACCGACAAAAATCTGGTAGGTGCCCATGGTCTAAGGAATCAAAACAAAGCTCTCTGAAGTCTGAGTTTGGCCGTTTCCAAAACGAAAAACCTTTTGGGGGCGATCTATCACTTGTACATGTTCTACACCAAATCGTTGTCTTCGGTTGTTGATGACAAACTCAAGGGCTTCCAAGGATGTGATGGTTTCCGTGGCACCAGTGTCAATCACTGCAAAACCAGAAACATCAGGTTGAGAAACATGTCCAACCATCTCAGAGATAACACCTGGGATGTCAAACTGGGGGTCAGGCTCAGCATGGACCGTATAGATGTTCACAGGGGCTGCACCACTCGCTGCAGCAGATGTCGAACTCATAGAAGATGCTCCTCGTGCCGTCGACGTTGAAGCTGTGCTGGTCCCCCAACGCCTGCGCCACATAGACATTGCCAGAGCCCTTGCCCTTGGACTTGGTGCCTGACTGCGACCTCTTTGGACAGGATCTGAACTCGTGATCCTTGGAGCCGCAGATGAAGCACCCAGTGTACCCTGGGGTACCCACAGCAAGAGCATCGGCTGCCATTGCCGAACCCGTTTTGCCACCTTTCTGAGTTGGTCTCGGTTTGCCCTTGGTCTTGTTCTTGCCTTTACCCTTGTTTGGGTAGAATCCTCTGTTGGATTGGCGTTGGTACACCAGGTTCCTTGAGTCAGCGAAGGAACGAAGCTTCCCTTCATAGGCAGCATAGGCGTCAGCCAGTTCTCGTTGTTGATCTTCAGAAAAGTAGGACTGGAACTGCATCGTCTCCCAGTCGCTCCATGCCCAAAACGCACCAGCTGCATCTTGGTGGTAGTACTCCCCAGACTCAGCATCCAAGTCCCACCAAGAGTAGCTGCCATCCAAATCTTGGAACCACGCGCCATCGCCATCGCCACCACCAGAGGAACTTGGCAAAGTTGAGGTCAATGTAGATCCAAGCACGCCGTAGTTGGAAGCAAGGTCAGATGTGCTTCCCACCCAGTGTGCGTCTTGTAGCCAATCCTCCATGTCCTCTTCCATCGCGTTGAGAAGAGCCCACTCGCCACCTTGCTCCATCCAAAAGACCGGTCGGCCTTTCTTGCCACCACCTTTTCCATGAGGTTCTCGTTCGGTCAGACGGAGTTCTTCTTCAGCACCTCGAAGTCCACGTTCTATGTCTTCAGCTTTCAAAGAGTTGCCCACCGTGGACAAAATGTTGAGGCGCTGTTGGGGACTCAATGAGCACCTCCTCAACATCAACCATCCCAGAAGTTCAGGCGGTAGAACATCAGGAAGATGGCTATCCAGGTCATCCCAAACCTTCAAACCCTCCAAGATGTCCTCCGTCTCCGTGTCAGAGTCTGAAGCTTGGCGCCGTCGTTGAGCACCACGACAATTCCCTTTTCTCTCAAGCTCAGCTTCCACCTCGCTGTCCGTTCTCCCAAGCGGTGCATCACCACCATCAGGCATCGGAGATGTTGGTGAAGGTCTCTGTGAAGTGGGTGTCACAGCAGGTTGAGGTGTGGCGTCATTGCTAGACCTTCTCCTTGAGGAACTGGGTGAGGTAGGCCCTGAAGGGGCAGCGTCTCGACGTCTTGAACCTCCTGACATTGGAGACTCAGGCGGTGCCGAGGTGATGTCATCACCTTGCTCTTTTCTCGCACGCTTCAGGGCTCGCTGCAAGCCTCTGTAGGTCTCTCGAACCTTGTGACACCAGCTGGCCATTGTCATGCCAACCGGTCGGCGCATCTTCACAAAGAGCTCCTCCGCCTTCGTGCCAGCATCAGGAACTGGTACTCGTCCAAGGCGCTCCTCCAGGAACTCCACAAGGAATCCCGCCCCGTCGTTGGCGACCAATCTTCGATGGTCTATCTCCTGCGTCACCACCCAGGCCCGGCCGGTAAGCTGTGCGGCCAGTTCCGGACCCAGGTACTTCCTTTTGCGGTGCCTGGTCTTTTCATAGGTCAGTCTGACCCTTCTGATATAGTCGACCCATGTCGAAGGGTCTCCATCCCAGGCGCATCTCACTTGCAATCCCTTGCCGTCGTCCATCGCAGCAAGGATGGTGTGGAAATTCTGCGTCTCCCACAGCAATGGGTTATACTGCAACTCCCACAGCTGTCAATCTGCGTCGCCCACTCTGCCCAGCCTGAAGTCAAAGAACACCGCTTCCACCAAACAAGCAGCCGCAGATGTCCGTGAGGTCAAAGGCAAGGATGTAGTGGGTCCAAGAAGTCACCAGGTAGATCGCGATCTCGAAGTCCAAGTTGAAGTGCCAGCCACACACCTATCAGGTTCCCTGAAGCGAATTCGGCTCGTCCACTGGTCCAGCTCCTAAGAGCTTCCCGCCAGCAACGGAGCACAGGCAGCGCTCCGCTACCAGTGTCGGTGTGACACTGGCAACGTTTCAACTAGGAGATGCAAATCGGTCCTCAGTTGTTTTGCTCCACGCCTAAGTCTTCTCAGGCAGCAGTCACCGGTTGCACCACTATGGCGCTAAGCAAACACGTGGCCTAAAAGTCTGTTTAGACAGACAGCTGGCTAAAGGGGTCCCTGAGCCATTACAATAGCGGTGCAGATGCTTTAGTAGCACATTCACCACATGTAGGCAAAAGGAAAAATGTGGCTACAGCTGACACTTTCACACTTAGCAACACAAAGCGGCAATTCTCAATGGCAATTCTTGGCAGTTGCTGAAGGATGTGAAGAATTGCCGAATGGTCGGGGCACGGCTGGGGCACGGCTGGGGCACGGCTGGGGCATGGCTGGGGCATCTGGAGCTGCGCTCGACGCTCGGCCGCTGGGCCGCTCGGCGCTCGCTTTTCAACATCTTAAGGTCATCACGGTGCCACTTTGCGGCAGCGTGGCATAAATGAAGCACTTTGATGCACTTTGCGGATTTGCAGCTCAAGGGAGCTAGCACTGGCACACAGCGTCTTCTGCAAAGAATTATAAAGAAAATCTCTGCAGCCAGACTGAAACAGATCGGGTTGATCCGATCCGAGTCGCTTTTTCTGTGGTTTTCTATCAGCTTTGTGTTCAAATGTTCAGAGCCTTGCATGGCATGTGTAGAGTCTGTTTTCTGGATCAAATGCATTGCATTTGATCGTCTGGTATCAACCCAGTGAATTCCAGAAGCTATGCTATGCTATGTTCATTTTGTTCATTTATCAGGAACAACCGCCTGGTCCGGTTGAAGAGAAACAACTTCTCTCCGTGCCCTTGACTCACTGGGCAAAGGTGGTTTCCCCTGTCTTTCTTCTGGTCCATCCACATCTTCAGTTGTGGCGTCCTTGCACTTTGTGTCGCAACAATGGAATGACAATGTCATGAAAATCATAAAACACCATCAAATGTGATCACATGATCGAACCATCTCATCTAGCTGCGCAACATGAAATTGTCTGACCTGGCGGCTTCATGACGTGGAGCTGGTCCAGGGACACTTCCCACATACTTTTCCCATCTTTTCCCACTTTCCGGGGCTATCCGGGGCTATCCGGGGCTGGTGAGGTCATGGCGGTCTATGCAGATCCCGTCCAAGGCTCTGAGCATTGCCGCGACATACCGTCGGAGCTGTGAGTTATGGGTCGGAAAAGTCCGGCCTGCGCACATCTGCGCGGACGGCCGCGCTGCCAAAAATGCTTTGTCATTCGAAATCAGAAACTGATCTTTGATCGTCTGGAACGTTTGGATGCATTGAAAATAACTGAAAATGGTTGAAACATGTCTAAACTATGCTACATCTTCTCAATTCAGCGGCTTTGAAGGAACCAGGCTGTATTTGGTCCGAGGCATTCTGTTTCTACCTGTTTCACTATGCTAAGGGCAGAAAAGTTCTGATTCCTCAGAGGACAGTGGCAGTACAAGTACAGGTAGCCGCTTTTAGTCTTCCCCACATTTGCTCATCAGCACGCCCTTTCAAAGCAGTTGTAGCATTGCAGTGTTGGAAGCAAAGCAGAGCAGGTTGCTGTCGTTGAAAGCAGTTGCAGCTTTCGGATGTGTCTCAGACATGTCGTTGCCTTCGGATTGAAGTGCAGCACAAACGGTTTTCGTGCCCAAAATTGAGCTTGCTGCAAAAGCATGATGTTCTTGAGTCTCCACACCGAGGCATAAGATGCGGAGTCTACGACGAAGACTTTTGAACCAGATATGGGGTCTGCAAAATCCCGTACAAAGAATGAATTTCGTACCGTTCCATACCGTTCCTACCGGATCCTACCGGATCCATGTGTTTTTCAATGGCTGTGCGTTGACAGCGTGCCTCGCTCCGCCGAGGGGTCAAGCTGCGGCGACTACGCTGCTCCTGGAGAGGGCGGCTGACTCGGCTGGCGCTCTCGTTGCGAGTTCTACGGAGTTCTATTACACTTCTGTTACAGTTCTACAGCTCTGCATGTTGTGGGAAACGATGTCACATCATTATAACATCCAGCAACAATAGACTATCTGTAGGTGCCCAATAGTGGCAACAATAGACTATCGATAGGGAAAAAAACATGTCAGAAAGATCTGTAGGTGCCCAGTAGTGTGCATGATTGTTTTGCCAGTAGATCTCTAAACCACTTCACCTTTCTGCCTTTGCTGCCTGTCACTCGGCTGCTTTCTGTCCTTCATCGCCATGGAGATGCGTCGGGGCATGGAGTTCTTTCGTTTTTCCTTCAGGGCCTGCTCTTCTGAAGCCTCGAGGGAAAGCAGACATAGCAAAGACAATATTGTCAATTAACAACAAAAAACAATAATAGTCATGGAGAGAGAGACAGAGAGAGAGAGATAGAGAGAGAGAGAGAGCGAGAGAGCGGGAGAGAGGGAGAGAGGGAGAGAGGGAGAGAGGGAGAGAGGGAGAGAGGAGAGAGGAGAGAGGAGAGGAGAGAGGAGAGAGGAGAGAGAGAGAGAGAGACAAACAGTGACAGGCCTATATATTATATATATATACATAGTATATACATGTGTATATTATATATATATATACATGTATATAAGTATATATGCGGCTGAAAGGAGTCAATTTTGTGATTGATAATCCTACTCCTGCGTACTACCAGACAATAGTAAAGCTTGACATATAGATATAAAAACATAGTCTTGCAGTACACGTCACCCTAAGGAACACTTCGTGCTAACATGATTGTGGGAGAAATAGCAATGCTCCTTGCAATGACTTCTTAAAACAGCCACTCCTGCGTCAAGCTCGCCAAACTCTGAATAAGGAATGGTTGAATGCTTGTAACGAACCCTTCACCTTTTTCACCCTCATCCCACTACAATGTTACTATTACTATTGTATACTATTGTTACATTCACTACATTCGTATGCAGTATACATTCCTTACATCCGTTACATAGCCGTCCGATAGCCATCTGACGTCCCAGGACATGGCCTTGAGTGCGGTCTGGATATCCGCTAAGAACTTTGACCAGATCCCAAAGAATTCATCCGTTGGCTTGCGAATGCCTTTGTCCTGAAAAATTCACACGGGACGTTACGCGGGAGTTTATTCGGGACAATATGGGACAATGCAAAATGGGAGGAAAATCCCGAAACATCTCAAAACCAACAAACGATCTTAGAGCCTTGGAGCTTTCCTGGCATTGGTGAGGATTGACATTTTGAAACATGTTGAAACATCAGCTCTCCGCTTCCAAACTGGCATAGACATGCAAGCTGATCTTTTGAAAGAAACTCCCTGACATCAAATCTTGCCACCGTGTTTGAATGCCGAATTGAGCCGAACAGTCCGAAGTCCTCCATGTGGAACCACACCACAATTTCTTCGTAACTGGATTCCATCTGTCGCAATTCTTGTTCAAGACCATTCAGCTGGATGTCCCGGCGCGTCTCCAGCCACTGGCAACAGCTCTGTAGCGAGTCATCCTCCAAACCTCAAAAAAAAATCAAAAAACATCCAAAAAGGTTTCACCAAACTTCAATGATGATCCACCAAAAAAGATCAAAATCGGATTGCAGTTGAACAAACAGCTGCAGAAAGCCTAGAAATTCTGTACCTGGCTTTGGACGAGACAAGGCACTCGCTGGAGAATTGAGCTTCGTGAGCACCTGTTCCTGAGTTGATTCATACACAGCAACTACCACAAAGGATGACGACATCCCTCCTGAAGAATCTGTTGGTGTTTGGCGCAGCCATGCCCCGATGCTCAAAATGCATTCAGCCCTTTTCATATCTGTTCATATCTTTCATAGGTTTTTCTCATCTTGGCGGAAGACTTTGAAAAGCATGTGCCCATTCGAACAGGTATCGCTTCACAATGACCGGCAAAAACGGTTTCCAAAGTCATTGATCGTGTGCCTTCTTCCTCTGAAGTACAACATCTGAACATCTGAAGCATCCCCCATCAGTTTGCATGCAAAACTTAAGTTTTTTTTGTGAATGTTTAAAATTTGTCAGTTTTCTCCCAATATTACCCTCTGTTTACCCTCACATGTTTAATTGCCTGATCTTGACCTCATACTTCATACATCGATATTTTTTTGTATCTAGAGATATATCATATTGTATACGGTCTAACTCTACCAATAAGAATTATACAACTATAACTACAAATGACTATAACTAACTAACCATCAATAGCGACTAATAGCTATTATAACAATGTAGATATAGATCGAAAAGAATGAATTTGAACATTTTGAACATGTTTGAACCGTATTTGACCTCTCTTCCGGTGCCGTGGGTAGCGCGTCGAGGCACCGCCGTGGCGCGGAAGGAACGCAGTTCCTCGGCCAGATCGGGCGCCTTGTGCCGCGCCGCCGCCTTCAGCAGCTCGAAGTCGCCTCGCCGAAAATCAAAATGTCAAAAAATGTCATGTGAACACGAAAAACAAACACAATGTGAACACGATGTGAAAAGATGTTTGGAGAGATGTGAACACACAAAAAAACATATGTTCACCGGGTTTTTGGAAATCTCTTCCAATTCATGGGAGAGATTCATTGGATTCGGAGATGGATTCAACACTGCTTCAGCATGATTCAACAATGTTTAGAAAATGAAATGTTTTTTCATATTCAGATAATTTCGTCAATTTGTGTTCATTTTGCCAGGTTGCTTCACGTTCCGTTTCAGAGTCAGTTAGTGTTTTTGCAGGGGGAAAAGGGTCACAGAGGACAGGGTGAAAGCTTCATCATTCAACAGGTGTCCGTGATTTTCTATGCGGGTGCGACATGTAATGTGGCATGAGAGGCAAGGATGGAAATCCACAGCACCATGCACTACCATAGGTTCAGAATGGCTGGAATTGGTTACAATTAATCCGCCGACCCCGCCGGCCGACAGCACCGGGGAGCGTGCCAAGGAATAAGAGTTTCCTGTTTCCAACTCCACCAAGCACCAGCAGCAGCAGCAGCAGCAGCAGCAAGCAAGACGACGACGACGACAACAACGACAACAACAACAACAACAACAACAACCACCACCACCACCACCACAACCACCACAACCACCACAACCACCACAACCACCACAACCACCACAACCACCACAACCACAACCACAACCAAAACAGCAGCAACAAACAACAAACAACAAACAAGGCCACGCCGCCCGCAATGACCCCGCCAATCTTCACCCTTTTTTCTGCTGCCAAGCCTCTGTTTTCACAACCCTTCCAGGGTTTCGTGTCCAGAGAATTTTGTGTAGACTTGTAATTCGATTGGTATTTGCATGACATCGTAATCGTTTGGATGATTTTACATGGGTGGAAATGCGTTTTTTCGGTTCCCATATGTAAAAAAAACTGTATGCTTGTTGTTTTTCACTTGCAAGTCTTTGCCAAGGTGCCAAGCTGTTTCAACTGATCATCCTTTAAAAGATACACTAACAAATAGGTAGTACTTCAAGCAAGGTAAAACAACACAAAAAAAATGTAAAATATATAACAGATATATGGTACACAGGAGCGTTACATCCGAGTGTTCAAAGCGTGTTACATGTAACATTAAATTGTTCACAGCGTGTCAGATGTTACATGAAAGCGTTCAGAACGTAGAACCAAGAACGTGTCGGATGTTACATGAACGTGTAACACACAAGTGTTCACAGCATCTTGGATGTTACATGAAAGTGTTCAGAGCGTAGCACCAAGAGCGTCTTGGATGTTACATGAAAGTGATCACAGCGTGTTAAGATGTTACATGAAAGTGTTCACAGCGTGTTAAGATGTTACATGAAAGTGTTCAGAGAGTAGCACCAAAAGCGTGTCGGATGTTACACAAATGTGTTAGCGCGTGCTCCATGTTACACAAGGTCATAGAACATTACTACATGCCCCCCCCACCCCCGTGCTCAGGACGTCGCATTACGTAAGGTCATAGACCGTTATTACCTACCTCCCCCGCCCCCCTGTTGAGGGCGTCGCATGCAACGCGTGCTCCAGGTTACACAAGATCAAAGAACTTTCTTACCTTCCCCCCCACCCCCCATGTGCAAACATTCGCATATCAAAAACGTCAAAAACGCTAGGACTGTTTTCCCTCCGCTGTCAAAAACATAAATAGATATATACCTATATTGGAGAAGGACAGTCCAAAACGTGCGGAAATTTTCAAAAGAGAAGTTGCAGGCGTAGCATCAACAGCGTGTTAGGTAATTACAAGGCAAAAGAGTTGAGGCGTAGCATCAACAGGGTGTAAAACAAAAGTTTGACAAAGTTGAAAGCACCCGCCAAAAGAAGAGGCGACAACACGTTATTAGCCCCACCCCACCACCCAAATGAAAATGCAAAATATGACATGTGACAAGACAACTGCCAAAGGCAAAAAGATGCAAAATATTCACGTATTATAACAAAGCAACGTTGCAAAAATTACCAAACCGGCTGGGGTCGTTACAGGCGGGCGGCATCAGCACAAACAACAGACAACAAACAACAAACAACAAATAGAACAATAAACAACAAAAAACATAACAACAAACAACAAACCAACGAAAAACCAGCAACAAACAACAAACAACAACCAACAAACAACAACAACAACAGCAGCAACAACAACAACAACACCAACACCAACAACCAACAAACAACACCCAACAACCAACACCCAACAACCAACAACCAACAACCAACAACCAACAGCCAACAACCAACAGCCAACAACCAACCAACAACCAACAACCAACAACCAACAACCAACAACCACAACAACAACAACACCAACGCCAACGCCAACACCAACACCAACAGCAGCAGCAGCAGCACCAGCAGCAGCAGCAACAGCAACAGCAACAACAACAACAACAGCAAACAACAAACAACAAACAAACAACCAACGACCAACGACCAACGACCAACGACCAACAACAACAACAACAACGACAACGACAACGACAACGACAACGACAACGACAACGACAACGACGACAACGACAACGACAACGACAACGACAACGACAACGACCAACCACCACCATCACCACCACCAACAACAACAACCAAAAAAAAACAGCAGCAACAACAACAACAACAACAAACAGCAGCAACAACAACAACAGCAACACCAACAACAGCAACAACAACAACAACAATAACGACCAACCACCACCAACAACAACAACAAGAACAACAACAACAGCAACACCAACAACAGCAACAACAACAACAACAATAACGACCAACCACCACCAACAACAACAACAAGAACAACAACAACAGCAACAACAACAACAACAGCAACAACAACAACAACAGCAGCAACAGCAACAACAACAACAACAAGAACAACACCAGCAACTACAACAACAACAACACCAACAGGAACAGCAACAGCAACAACAGCAAAACGCTTTAAATATTGTATTTTGTGTTACCGGATGCAACAACAAAAAACGTCGTAAATGCCGTGGTTTTGGGCTTCCCAGGCGCAAAAAACATCAGCATTGACGATGTTTTTTTGCTCCGAGGGTCTTAAAAAAGACGCAAAAACACCGCCTATTTGACGTTTTTTAGGGTCCACAAAAATGCAAATAAGCTGTGTAGCAAGAACGAGAACAAGAACAAGAACAACAACAACAACAACAAGAAAAAGAAGAAGAACAAGAACAAAAACAAGAACAAGAACAAGAACAGAAATGCGACAAAAATAGGTGTGGTAAGATGGCTACAAGCTACGGTATGACAAGAATATCACACTGTGCTCTGCACCTGCGCGCGCGCAGGTCACATAGGTCACACTACTATACATAACCCTTATGGCAGCGCCGGTGTGCGAAGCTCTAAAATATGGAAACTCTTTCCAACAAACCAGCTCCAGCCCTTCAAAAACACAGATTGGTTTCCGTTTCCATGGTTTGGCTTTTCTTAAGATGATACCAACATATACCAACTGTTTTACTAGTTGTTTCGTTTACATTCTGAAGTACAAATGATGAGTGGTCGCATGTCGCCACACAGCCTCCAGGAGCAAAGACTCTGTGGAGATCTCCTGGGTAGACGCGCTCCATCTGACCAGTGATGTAGTCCACCAGGCTGCCTGCTTTATCACCCTGTGACCTCAGCATCACTCAGCATGTGGCATCGACCACGTGAATTCCTCACGCAATGTCATGAAATCTCCCATTGCCCGCCATGCCCTGCCATGCCCTGCCATGCCCTGCCATGCCCTGCCTACCAGGATCTTTCCAAGTCACATCTTTACAGTGCGCATGAGGACCAAAGTGTCCAGTGCAAAGCCGTCTGCGCGTCCACGAGGAGTACCACCATTCAGATAGTTTCCAACGTACAAAACAATGCCAAGCAAATGGCCTGTGCGAATTTGTGCACATGTTGAAACTCAGGGTGCTTTGTCGAACCAGAGCTTGGCCTATCAAGTACTAGCGAAGAAGAAACAGCCACGGCGTCATGCCAGAGCTAGACAAAAAATCTATAGCTACGTCTAAGGCGGAAAGTAGTACTTGTTGCGTCGAAATCTGGCGAAATTTCAGTGTCTTGATTCTTGATATAGCGGGAAAACAGCCAAAGCATTGCGCCATCCTTCTCTTTCTCTGTACGAAGAAAAGAACTCAACGTTGATGATTGACTGGCATTTATTTAGATTCAGATGCCCTTTGAAGCTGTGGGTCAAGATCAATTATGATTTCTGATTGATGCAAACGCTGAGCAAAGCATTCAAAGTGACTCCACTTGACTCCATGTGACTCCTATGGGTCACCAAGTGGCGAATACAGGTGGAGGTCAGCACTGATTGGCAGCCCTGGGCGACGCAGCGCACAGCAGCATCCAACGTTTGGAAGCCTCACCACACAATTGCCGTTCTGGGATCTTATGGGTCAAAATTTGGCTCGAAACGGGCGTTCTGATAAGAATGGGCAGAATTTGTGATCCCAAGCTACTAAGTCAGACTAAGTCTTGTAATTTGACCCATAACATCTGATATCCATATCTTATTTCGGTCTGGCACTTTCACTGCTGGTAACGCGAAGATTGCTCAAATTCATGCATGCAGCCTCACAAGCTGCCCACTGCAGTTCCTAGACTGCACCCTTTCAATAAAAGAAAATAAAAGAAGTCCTGGGCCAAATGCGTAAACTTGGGCGTAAACTAGCTTTCTGTTGAAAGCGACTTGTGCAGCAGGAACTGGAAAATCTGCTCACTAGGGTTCCCAACGCTCTTCAAAGGTATTTTGGAAATGCCATGCACGCAGTCGCAGCTCGAACTGAGGTACCTAAAATCAGTTGGCATGTCATCTCGAAAGGTGCCCTTGTAAATCGGCTCAAGAAATTCCACAATTTTTACGAACCAAGTCATCCAAGTCATCCAAGTCACGCTAATGAAATTCAGGAGGAATTCTTCGGCTTGGTCCCATACCTCGGCACTGGAGAAAAACCATTCTCATGCAGTGACACAGTTACAATCCAAAAGCAACAAGACTGGGCAACATATGGCAACAGTGAAAATATTGAAAATGTATCAAAAATGACTTAAAGATTAATCGTACCTGCACAGCTATTGAACCTCTCCACCATCCACAGCTCATTTTCCATGTTTGTCAGCTCAATTGATACAAGTTCATCTACGTCCACGCGTCCACGTCTGGGCGAGCGACATGCAGGTCATCAATGACATGTTCTTCTTTGGCTCTTTGTAGAAGCTTCATCTCATCTTCGGAGGGCAAGTTGATAAGCAACAGCTCCACTTGCTCGCTGTCCAACGCTGAATCCATCTGCTGCAAAGCCCGAGGGACGTCACAGAGCCCCAAACGCGCGAGCATCACACAGACCTGGCGACGGCGCTGCGCGTCCAACACCTGGATCTTCTTCACTCCTTAGGTTGTCACTGAACATCACCATCCGTCACTTCTTGTCACCCTTCTTGTCACACTTCTACGTTTGGAATGTAAAAACAATGTGAAACATCGCTAAAACATGCTTGGACATTCACTTGGCGGTCCCATCCTTAGTTTCCGACGCTCAGTGTTTTCCGGACTCGGCGAAGCAAAACGCTTCCCGGGCTCATCGCAAAAGAGCACCTCCCATGGCACACGGAATACCTGGTGACCTGTAGCGTCCTAGGGTTGTGTCGTTTAAAATGTCAACATGTCTCAACAGGCAAAAGCTCCACTCTCATTCAAATTGGACTTGGAAACTAAGGTTTTTTTATTGGCAGAGTAGAAGGGTTGGATTCTCCGACTGTCCTGCCCTTTAACCATCTTGGACCGTGATGCCACGGTTTTATGGGAGACATCAAATTGAGGAACAGCGTCATACATTACAATTAGAGATAATTATTAGATTATATCAGATATCTTTGATATGTTAGGTATATTAGATATCTTAGTCTATATATATATACATACATATGTGGATATATCATCCTATCGGCGCCCTTTCCTGGAACTTGCCTCCAATTGCTTGGTGTCGATCGGAGCACCTGTGGAAAACGTCGATCGGTGCAGTGTGACATGATTTGACAGCCATGAGTGCAGCACAGATGCCATGCAGCACGTTTTTGTCAAGACTGTTCAGAGTCATGAACACCTCTGATGCCGCCATGTTGTTAGAAAGTCTTCTCTCAGTGATTGTGTTCTTTTCCTGAGCGTTATCATAGAAACTTGCCGTGCACCTTCTCGGTCGATCTCATTCCAAACAGTGTTGCGCTCGCTATCCACACGGAAAGAATTCCAGAAAAGCCGCTTGACTTGCACCCCTGGCTTAATGTCAGGTTTCCTCCGGCCGGCACTCCGCCGAAGAAATCTACCATCAAACAATCTACAAAATGACAGCTGCACTTGCTGCACTTCTATGAGATTGGACATATTTGGACTCACAAAACAGTCATAACACACGATTTCAGTCCTGGGTTCTGCCTTTGCTTTGCCCTTGCCTTTGTTGTCCTTGTTTACGACTGGATGGGAAATGACTGACACCCTGCTGCCACTGGTATCATACTTCATCTTGCACAAAAAAATCAATGCAGCCAAAATTCCTTCCCTTTGCTAGCCCCCTTGGGTGGGGCAGATCCTTTTGAGGCCCCTTTGCTAGGTGACTTTTCAGGCGAACTAGCAGGTTTGGGTGATTCTGCCGGTTTGGGAGATTCCGCTGGTTTGGGAGATTCAGGTTTGGGAGACTCCGGTTTTGGAGAGGATGCTTTGGAAGCAGAAGCTTCACTTGGCTTGGGCGATTGCGACAAATCCGAGCCCGGTTCAGAAGGCTTTGCGGTTGGTAATTTGAGCAAGTCAATCTGTGTGTTCTCAGATGAAGGACGAGGCTGGCTGCCGCGTCCTCTGTCAGGTAGACGTGTCTGTATTGGAAGCACTGGGCCCTCACCCTGGGTTGAGCCATGTCCACCAGGTGCATTTTCCTTGTCAGTGCTTCCAACTCCAGAAAAGCCTTGGCTGACAAGGCTCAAGAAAAAACCATCTTCCAGTCTGTAAAGAGCAGCTGAAAGAATTCTCTCAGAGTCCCAAAGGGCTTGCTTTGTTTCAGCACTGCAAAGCAACAAACATATCATCATTGGCACTGCCCACGGATCAATATGTAGTATTTAAGAGTACCGGTACTGTGCACATGCATCACATGCGCTACGTCAGTGAGTTGTGACGATAGGTGCAAGATGGTACAAGGGCATACCGGCATACCCCTGTAGTCCAAACCCGGCAGCTAATACTCCAAAACCCCAACAAATGTGGAACAAGTCTGGCCGAAGCAACTGCTGCGTCGAGGTTGCATGGCTTGGCCGGGGCTTGTGACCCCATCCAAAACGGCCTCCGGCAAATCGTCAACTCCTACCTCAGTACATTGAAGAATTCTGAAGACTCCAAAATTCAGCATGATGCGGGCACTTTTCTCGGTCCTTGCGTCCTCTCTTTTGGATCTGTTTGGAAAATTCAGCTATACACGACAGGCCAAAATCAGGTATTTACAAGAAATGGACTCTTCAAAATTATCACGGCAAGAGACCCCAAACGGTGCAGGGGGAGTGGGAGGATAATGTAAGATAATGTTGATGATGATGATGTTGTTGATGATGATGGTGATGATGATGATGATGATGATGATGTTGGTGATGATGATGATGATGTTGATGATGATGTTGATAATGATGAGGGTGATGATGGTAATGATGTTGGTGATGATGTTGATGATGATGATGTTGGTGATGATGATGATGATGACGATATTGGTGATGATGGTGATAATGATGATGATGATGTTGATGATGATGTTGATGATGATGATGGTGATGGCGATGGTGATGTTGATGTTCATGATGTTGATGATGATGGTGTTGATGATGATGATGATGGTGATGGTGATGGTGTGATGGTGATGATGATGATGATGATGGTGGTGGTGGTGGTGGTGATGGTGGTGAGGGTGGTGAGGGTGGTGAGGGTGGTGATGGTGGTAAAGGGGGTGGTGGTGGTGGTGGTGGTGGTGGTCGTGGTGATGTTGATGTTGATGTTGATGTTGATGTTGCTGTTGGTGTTGCTGTTGGTGTTGGTGATGAAGATAAAGATGATGATGATGATGATGATGATGGTGATGGTGATGGTGATGATGATGATGATGATGGTGATCATGATGATCATGATGATGGTGATGGTGGTGGTGATGATGATGATGATGATGGTGATGGTCATGCTGGTGGTGATGCTGGTGTTGATGTTGATTTTGTTTATGATGTTGTTGATGCTGAGAAGGATGATGGTGATGATGATGATGATGACGATGATCAATATCATGATCATGATGTTGAGGAGGATGAGGATGATGTGGAGGATGATGATGTTGAGGAGGATGAGGATGAGGATGATGGTGTGGAGGAGGATGAGGACGAGGATGGTAATGCAAAAGATGAAACGGAGGAGGACAAGTTGGAGGATGATGATGTTGATAAGGAGGAAGATAATGATGTTGAGGAGGATGAGGAAAAGGAAGAGAATGTTGCAGAAGATGAGATGGAGGAGGCTAATGATGCGGAAGATGAGGTGGAGGAGGATGATGTTGACGATGATGATGTGAATGGGGAGGAAGATGATGATGTTGAGAATGGTGATGTTGAGGAGGAGGAAGATGATGATGTTGAGCATGCTGATGTCGAGGAGGAGGACTGATCCCAAGATCTAGGACCTGCGCAATCGAAATGCACTTCAACCTTCAACATGTCACAAGAGCCACTTTATACTGAAATTTACAGGAAAAATGCTGCGGCCCAGATTGAGCCCAGAACGTGGACACACACTTTGTGCGAGCCTGCGCAGTCGAAATGCACTTCAACCTTTCACAAGAGCCACTTTATACGGAAATTTAAAGGAAAAATGCCGCGGCCAAGATTGAGCCCGGACACACACTATGCACGAGCCTGCACAGTCGAAATGCACTTCAAACTTCAACATTTCACAAGAGCCACTTTATACGGAAATTTACAGGAAAAATGCTGTGGCCCAGATTGAGCTCAGAACGCGGACACACACACTTTGTGCGAGCCTGCGCAGTCGAAATGCACTTCAACATGTCACAAGAGCCACTTTATACGGAAATTTACAGGAAAAGTGCCGCGGCCCAGATTGAGCCCGGACACACACTTTGCGCGAGCCTGCACAGTCAACATGCACTTCAAACTTCAACATTTCACAAGAGCCACTTTATACTGAAATTTACAGGAAAAATGCTGCGGCCCAGATTGAGCCCAGAACGTGGACACACACTTTGTGCGAGCCTGCGCAGTCGAAATGCACTTCAACATGTCACCGTAATCCCTTACTCCTACCGTAAGAACCCCTAAGTGTGGACACACTGTTTGGGAAAAAACGGCACAGCAAAATCATGCAACCAAGCCTCAGCGGACTTGCTGCTTTTGGCACCCTTGCCACCCTTGTTGCCCTTGCTCGGCCCCTTGGGTGGGGCGGGTCCTTTCGAGGCCCCTTTGCTAGGTGACTTTTCAGGCAAACTAGCAGGTTTGGGAGATTCTGCCGGCTTGGGCAATTCAGATTTGAGAGACTCCGGTCTTGGAGAGAATGCTTTGGAAGCAGAAGCTTCACTTGGCTTGGGCGATTGCGACAAATCCGAGCCCGGTTCAGAAGGCTTTGCAGCTTTTGCTTTCAGCAAGTCGAGCTGTGTGTTATCGGATAAAGGACGAGGCTGGCTGTCACGTCCTCTGTCAGGTAGACGTGTCTGTATTGGAAGCACCGGGCCAGCGCTTTCCTTGTCAGTGCTTCCAACTCCAGAAAAGCCTTGGCTGAGAAGGCTCAGGAAAAAACCGTCTTCCAGCCGTATAAAGCAGCTGAAAGAATTCTCTCAGAGTCCCAAAGGGTTTGCTCTGTTTCAGCACTGCAAAGCAACAAACATATCATCATTGGCACTGCCCACGGCTCATATGTAGTATTTGAGAGTACCGGTACTGTAGACATGCATCACATGCGTTACGTCAGTGAGTTGTGATGATAGGTGCAAGATGGTACAAGGGCATACCGGCCTACCCCTGTAGTTCAAACCCGGCAGCGAATACCCCAAAACCTCAACAAATGTAGAACAAGTCTGGCCGAAGCAACTGCTGCATCGGGGTTGCATGGCTTGGCCAGGGCTTGTGACCCCATCCAAAACAGCCTCCGGCAAATCCTCAACTCCCACCTCGGTTGCATGAAACACCATTGACATCAACGTGTTTGGCAACTTGAGAGGGGGAACACGAAAGGAAGGTGATCAAGAAGGGGAAGCAAAGCCTCTCTGTGTAAAAGTTGGCTGTGTAGCACCAACTCAAGGTAGCAAAACTCAAGGAAGCACCACTGGAGCTACCTTTCGTGACATGTTCTTTCAAGATCTTTCAATTATCCTCAAAAAAACAAGTGTTTGTGCAGGGGGCAAAAACCCGTCACTCAAAATCCAGCAGAAATTCCTGAAATCTCCTTTCAGAATGTTGGCATTTGAAAAGGAACAAGCTCAACAACAACCAAGCAAGCCACTGGTAGCACAAACGATGATCTGGAAGTGGGACTGTGTGTCCTGCTTCGCTTGCTCTGGGGCGAACGAGAATCCACCAAGTCATCTGAGGGCGTCGAATTCTGGGACTTCTGAACCCTTTGAAGATGCGCCGCCTCCATGCTATCCGAGGAATCACAACTGTGCCAGTCCAAAGCTTCAGGCGATCTGCCAGACTTTGGACCAAGCTCTTTCTGAGTGCCATCTAAACTGTTCGGAGTTGCTGCTACCATACCTGGTACCAGAGTTGGGACCGTGATCTCTGGCTGATCAGCTGGGGACAAACTTCGCAAGGAGTCACCAAGCAGTGTACTGCAAGGGAGCGGATCTGTCTTGTCTGGATGCTTTGCACCTCCGCAGGCGGCAGGTTCAATGCGCAAAACGATCTTCGAAATCTTCGAAATCTTCGAATTGAAATGTGTAGATGTGTGTAGTAGTAGAGGTTTGATTGCGGATCTAGACTCTACGCTAGAAAGAGCAAGTGTTTAGCAAAGGGTCGAGAACCTGATACGCCTTTGAAAGCTCTTGAGTGGTTGGAACTTGATGTTCTCTACCAGAGGGAAAAGGAACACCCTGCCTTCGGCCACTTTTGGTTGAGTTCCGAAGGACACCTGCGAGAAGCAACTCCTACAATCCTTGTGATGCAAACCTTTGCACCTGACGTTTGCCCATCAAAAAAACTATATCCTTGAGATCCAACTATCCGAAGTATCCCTTGTGCAAGCTTGAGCTTGATGATGCTCCAAGGTTTCATAAGCTTTCGGCAGCTGTGCTGGAGAAGGGTGAGAAGATGTGAGAAGGGAGAAAGGCCCAACAAAGATAACAAGGACCCAACACTCCACAGAGTGGGTCCACAGAAGCGCCTGCGCAGTTGCGCTTTCTCTGAAGGAAATGCTTCCGCTGGCAGGTGACCCTTCCTGCACAAAGTTCCGCTGTGAGAAAATGTGAAAACGATTAGAAACATCTGAAAAAACGACCCGCGCAAGAAACTCAGCCAACCCGACGGGGTCGAAACCAACAGTCACCAACAGTCACCAACGGTCACCAACAGTGACCGCATTCTTTGCAAACCTGGAAGTGTTAGCACTGGCCACAAAAGAGAACTGTGTTCGGACCGTCCTCCTCACAATTTGAGCCACTTGGAAATCCAGCCGCTTTAGAGCCTAGCTGTCTCCAATTCTGTTTTACACATGAGATTCTCACACTGCTTTGAAACATGACTGAAACGGCAATTGCTAGCCACTTGGTAGCTGTCATGTTGTCAAATGTGTATAAATTCGTCAGGAAACCTGCATGTCGGGGTTGCATGGCCCGGCCAGGACTTGTAACGCCATCCCAAACAGTCTCAGGCAGATCCTCAAGGCCCACCTCGGCTTCAAACTCATGAAGACGTCTAGCCAAAGTTACCATGGTTGACTAACGCTTCAAGGACATACGGTTGACATACGTCTTCAAGGCAAAAGATGAAAAGGGATCTTATGGTAGTATAATATCAATTCCCTGCGCTTGGTGCCTCTAAACACCGCGGAAGGGCAAGGGCAAGAACCAAACCAAACAAAAAGAACATGAAAAGTGCCATACCCCAAATTTGCACGCACAGCCCGAAGTGAAATCATGTCAAAACCCTGCAAAATGACAAGCCGCCAAAAGCGGCAAGGACATTCTGATGCCCTTGTGCTGAGGCGAACGAGAATCCACCAAGTCGTCTGAGGGCGTCGAATTCTGGGACTTCTGAACCCTTTGAAGATGCGCCGCCTCCATGCTATCCGAGGAATCACAGCTTTGCCAGTCCAAAGCTTCAGGCGATCTGCCAGACTTTGGACCAAGCTCTTTCTGAGTGCCATCTAAACTGTTCACCATACCTGGTACCAGAGTTGGGACCGTGATCTCTGGCTGATCAGCTTGGGAAGATGAAGCTCCTGACACCTCTGCCGGCAGCAAGCTGGTGCTTGACGGCAAGGCTTGACCGATGGCATCCTCTGCTTCTTCGGCCCCTCTCGAACCTCTGCCAAGCCATGAAACTCAATGTCCACAAAATCACAAGTTTGTCCACAATGTACACAAATTGAAGTTTGCGAACGTTTTGGGTTTTGAAATTGATCCTCTATTATCCTCTATTCACGTCTGTAACATGATTCCAGCATATTCCGGCAACATCAAAGCTGCATCTTGCCTGCAGCTCTCTCAAAACCATCGGCGGGTTGGGGTCTTCCAGAGTCCTCACGGAAACAAGCTTTAGCAGTCTTTAGCCTGAATCTTTAGCTGACCTCTCACTTAAACATAGAAATCAGGACATGGCTTTAACATACTTTAACAATGCTTCCAGGTGCTGTTCGAGGCTAGCAATCAAGCTGACATGAACCCCAGACATGATTCAATTAGATGCTTTACGCGTGATCTATCGAATTGCAATCCAAACACTGAAGTCGTACCAAAGCTGTTGAGATGTCCCTTATGTCCCCACCATTCCCCACCTCTGTCTCAGCATTGCCAGCGGAAATCTGTCGTGGCACTTCCTGTGATGTGGATTGCGGGTAGCCGCCGTAGCCCTTGAAATCAGAAAAGTCCTCAGAAGCATCCGAAAAACTCCACAGAACAAAAACCCATGACGGTTGTGAACCTGTCCAACAGCTTCGTTCCGAGTTCAGAAAGCAATCGAAACAATGACCCGTGTCTCTTACCCAACAACACGACAGGAAACTGATCAAAATGTTGGCAACATCTGGCAAACTTGTTGTGTTTCAAAAAGTATCCGCATCCAAATTTTCCTTCGATTCAAACCGTAAATCCAATTCCAAGATATTCTCAGTATTCCTGCTAGCTTTGCATTTCTCAGAACATCGTAGAACACCAAATGTCTAGTTTTATTACAGCGAATCCCTAGCAGCACCTGCTGCCAGGTGTCAGGAGTGTCAGGGGTGTCAGGGGTGTCTGGGGCAGAAGCTTGCTGTGATGGAGCACTTGCACTTGCTCGGAGAGCTTGGAGACTGCCAATCTCTATCTGCGAGGTTGAGTTCACGTCCAGCATACCGACCTGCGCTTTTCAATGCGAATCCAAACGCAAATTTGCTGTAAAAATGTCTCATTGTCTCTGATCGTTTCTGATCGTTTCTGATGCTGGAAAACTGTAGCGCAATATTCGTTAT